ATCGTTTGTTAATTTTCCGTAAAAATTATTTCCGAAGAAACTTTAGCGATACAAGTCCTTTCTTAAATAAAACTACTTGTTACGACAGCGGGGGGTCACGTGACGAGTGTTCTAAAAAATTCGCTAGTGTGTTACAACAGCGGAAGTCAAGTGACGCTGGTAGCACGTGTTGAGAGCCTAGAAGCTTCTAGAACAAGTGGTATTATCGTATATAGAAGTGCGCTAGACAGTGGGTCGAGGCAGAGAGGAAGCAAAGGCAGAGAGAAAAAGAGAGAGTGGGGAACCGAGGTCAGCGGTTACGGTCGACGGGAACTGAGGATAGCAGATACAGAGATCAGAACTATAGTTGGCGGAGACGGACAATTAAGTCAAGTGCGGTAGAAAGTGAGTAAATTGTTGTGAACTCTAATGTGTGTAACTGTGAAAATTAAGTGCATTACAAAATTGTATTGAGGAAGAATAAAAAGTTTTATTTAAGAAAGGACTTATATCGTGGAAGAATTAACAAACAAACATACAGAGACATAACAAATTGGTGGCAGGAGTGGGATAGAAAATAAAAATAAAAAAGAAGAAGATGGAAACGAGAGGCGGAAAATCAAACTACAGCTTAGCAGATTTGATGGCAGCAATACAAGAACAGCAAAAGAAACAAGAAGAGAAACTAGAAGAGAAATTACAGCAGTTCTTGGAAGAAAAAGAAAAGAAACAAGAAGAGAGACAACATCAGTTGCAAGAAAACCTGCAACAGTGGCAGCTCGAACAACAAAATAAACAAGAAGAGAGATTACAACAGTTGTTGGAGGAAAAAGAAAAGAAACAAGAATGAGAAAAGAAACAAGAAGAACGAGAAGAGAAATTACAGCAGTTGTTGGAGGAAAAAGAAAGGAAACAAGAAGAGAGACAACAGCAGTGGCAAGAAAACCTGCAATGGTGGTAGCTCGAACAGCAAAATAAACAAGAGAGACTACAGCAGTGGTTGGAGAAGAAAGAAAATAAACAAGAAGAGAGATTACAGCAGTGGCAACAGGAACAAGAAAGGAAACAGGAAGAAAGTCAGCAGCAACTACAGGAAAGTCAACAACAGTGGCAAGAAGTACAAATGGAAAACATTAGTAAATTTAAAAGCAAATTAGATACACTAAAGGATGATCTATTGTCTTTTACACATGGAGGATAGCCCCAGTGTACCTGGACGATGCCATTGTATTTGCAACAACTTTTGATGAGGAAATGACCCAGTTAGAGGAAGTATTCAAGTGTTTGCAAGCAGCAAACCTCAAACTCCATCCCAAGAAATGCCACTTGTTCCAGAAAGAGGTGCTTTACTTAGGTCACATCATAAGTGAGCATGGTGTGCAAACTGATCCTGAAAAGGTGAAAGCAGTACGTGACTGGCCAACACCAGACAATGTGGCAGAGTTAAGAAGCTTCTTGGGACTCTGTACCTATTACCGTAAGTTTGTGAAGGACTTTGCAAGTATAGCTGCACCACTACATGATTTGACTAAAAAAGGCCAGAAGTTTGAATGGACTGTTTCTTGCCAGCACTCTTTCAAGACGTTGAAAGAAAAATTGGCCTCCGCTCAACTTTTAAAGCTTCCAGATCCCTCACTGCCGTACATACTGGATTGTGATGCCAGTAACATCGGAATTGGAGGAGTGTTGTCTCAGAAAGTGGGTGAAAACGAACATGTGGTGGCCTACTTCCTGAGTAGACCAGAGAGGAATTACTGTATAACACGGAGGGAACTCCATGCTATAGTAAAGAGTCCCACATATTTTCATCCTTACCTCTGTGGTGCTAGGTTTACCATCAGGACAGACCATGCTGCGT